TAAATTTAAAGATATTAAATTTAAAAAAGAAACCTCTATTTTCAGGAGTGATTCTGAAAATATTTTTTGACTACCTACCTCTCCATGATTGAAAAAGAAGCACAGCACTGTAACCAGGCCTCCTAATCGGCTGCCACTGAAAAAGAGGGTACAAAAACATAACTCAAATAACAGAAATTCAGGTCAATTCTAATAAACCTTAAAATAACATAACATGATAATCTTACAGTATTATAGCAGGTATTAGCCACACTAGAACTCTCCTATGCTTACATACATCTCCTATGCTTATGTACAAAATATTTCCTCCAAGTATCATTAGTCAAAATAAGTTTCATTTTTTAAAAATAATTTGTCATCCTGAAAATGCGTAGACTCAGAAAAGCACACAAACTAAAAAGGAACAGAAATTATTACTAGTCATATTACTGTGCATCATGTGACCTGATTTTTCTTTTTCTTCGTCTTCTTTAGTACCACATATTTATTTATCCATCGGCTTTTCTCAAACTATTTTCCTTGGGACACACAATATACATTAGGGAATGGGATGGAGAAGAAGTACATAAAATGGTTCTATGATCATAAAGTTGGAAAACACCACACGGTCTACCTGCTTTGGAAATTCACAAAGCACTTCAGCACATTAAAGACTTAATTCAGTATTTCCTGAACCCTATCCCCAAGCTATTTTTCTGCAAAACACACTTGGTGAACACTAGTTTATAGATAAAGTTTTATCTTTCATTTGTTTTCAAAAAACTGGAATATAACACATATATCAAAGCATGACAATCAGGCTTATAACTCTAGCTAAGAAATCACAATGGTATATTCTGGCAGTTCTAACAAAATCTTATAACCTGAAAACCAAAATATGTTTAAAATTATAATAGAAGTTTGCAACAACTTGAGTTCTTACCAATATTTTACCCAAAATTGTAGTTTGTGCTCTCAATTTTAATATATGACATTACACAAAAAGGCCATTTATCTACCCTAAAGCTACAGTTACATATAAGTACAAATATCTATTGACTATCTCTGATAGTTTAACTTTTCCCAAGACAGTGATGTCTAAGCATGCTTTCAGCTACATCAAGTAGCTCAAAAGTATCAAAAAGATAAGTCATCAGCCTGAAAAAATCAACTGTCTAAATTTCATTGTTAAAAATTAAGAAGACTTTGTAAGGAATGATGTTCATGCTACATGAATATCAAAATTATGAGAAAAACATAATATCAGGAATTAACAACCCTACTGTATAGTAAGGGTAACAGAGTAGACCTTTGTGCTTAACAGTGTTCTTTCTAGTGGTCTTGGCTCCAAAATTTTGAATAATCCCTTTCCTCCAACATCTTATTGTTAAACACAATGCTCCTTTCTTCCATTATTAAGCAGTTATTTCCCATTTCTTAGGTCATTCTCACAGAATCTGTGTTTCAAATGTTTCATGGTCCACACTATCACAATGTGCAGCATCAAGAGTCAGGAAAAGCCAAATCATTTTTTGGCGGGAGGGGCTCGAAATTCACACTAAACCAATTAACTGATGTCATGCTACAATCATTTATCAAATGCTCTAATCTACAAGGCCACTCTAGCTTTGCATTTCTGTGATCCTAAATACTAACTACATATTAGTTCAATATCCATTAGTAATTCACTGATTTTTAAAAAGTTCAACATTGGCTCTGCATTAAGTTTCAACAGGATTACTCTCAGAGCTTTATAATGTGCATATGAAAAGACTGCAGACACTGAGTGTTTATAAACACATGAAAGGATGAAGTCACTTCACATAAAGCAAGCTGACCTTTTTCTTTTTTCCCTCTTACAAAATTTACCACGAACGAAATCTGGACAGAGATATATTACTAGAAATTCACTTACAACTATGATTAATTTAGATGAACGAAATCACTGTCTCTCAATTTACTTTGGAATTTAATCTAAACTAAGTTAGATAACAATAATAATGATACAAGCTAACAATTATATATCAGTTACCATCTGCCAAACATTGTTCTAGGCACTTATATGTATGAATTCATTTAATCTCTGCAATAATCCTACAAAATGGGTAACATCATTCTGCCCATTTACAAAGAGGAAACCACGGGCCAGAGAGATTAAATGACTTTGTCAGGTCACAAAGACACTCAATGACAGTCAGGATTTGAACCTGACTGGTTCAGAACCTGGATCCAGAGTCCATGTTCTTTGCAACACTGCTTTCTTTAGAAAGCCCTTCGACAGTTGCAAATCTGTCAAATATTCTGTAAGAAATACTTAAAACTATATCAAAGGTTAATACATTAAAATAAGAACATACTGTGTAGACTATTACAACAAAAAGCCTCACATAAGAAAGTTAACTATATCTATTACCAGCTTATTTCTATTATTCCTAAAATGTGAGATTTCATAGTTTTAAAATTATTTGAAGAATTGAATCAGACCCACTACTTCTTCAAATCACTAAGAGTTATATCACATAAGAGATATAATGGTTATGAAAAGATAACTTAAAATGAATGCGAGTGTTTAAATTTTGAATCAAAATAATAAGATCAAACATTTAAAGAATGCTATTAGAGATTAAATTTAAAGATATTAAATTTAAAAAAGAAACCTCTATTTTCAGGAGTGATTCTGAAAATATTTTTTGACTACCTACCTCTCCATGATTGAAAAAGAAGCACAGCACTGTAACCAGGCCTCCTAATCGGCTGCCACTGAAAAAGAGGGTACAAAAACATAACTCAAATAACAGAAATTCAGGTCAATCCTAATAAACCTTAAAATAACATAACATGATAATCTTACAGTATTATAGCAGGTATTAGCCACACTAGAACTCTCCTATGCTTACATACATCTCCTATGCTTATGTACAAAATATTTCCTCCAAGTATCATTAGTCAAAATAAGTTTCATTTTTTAAAAATAATTTGTCATCCTGAAAATGCGTAGACTCAGAAAAGCACACAAACTAAAAAGGAACAGAAATTATTACTAGTCATATTACTGTGCATCATGTGACCTGATTTTTCTTTTTCTTCGTCTTCTTTAGTACCACATATTTATTTATCCATCGGCTTTTCTCAAACTATTTTCCTTGGGACACACAATATACATTAGGGAATGGGATGGAGAAGAAGTACATAAAATGGTTCTATGATCATAAAGTTGGAAAACACCACACGGTCTACCTGCTTTGGAAATTCACAAAGCACTTCAGCACATTAAAGACTTAATTCAGTATTTCCTGAACCCTATCCCCAAGCTATTTTTCTGCAAAACACACTTGGTGAACACTAGTTTATAGATAAAGTTTTATCTTTCATTTGTTTTCAAAAAACTGGAATATAACACATATATCAAAGTATGACAATCAGGCTTATAACTCTAGCTAAGAAATCACAATGGTATATTCTGGCAGTTCTAACAACAAACTTCATTTGCTCAGGTAAGAATGAATTATGTTCCCTACTTTCCTCCAAGTCTGGGTAGAGGAAATGAGGCTGTTTTTAGGTTTGTTCCATCATTTCTTTCTCCCTTAGTCTTTAGGTCCTCTTACTCTCTTTAGCTCATGCTGCTTTCTGATTATTCTACCCAAATACTTCCTTCTTTCTATCCATCTATGAGTACGTGTATAACACAGAGAGGCCAGAGAGGAAACAAAGAACAAGATGGTATTACAGGCCTTGTATTTATAAACTCTTGGGGCTGTATGAATGAAGAAAAGTGGAGGAGATACAAGAGAGAACAGGGATAATCCATTTCAGGAGCACATAGCCCCTCCCCGCCACCTCCAGAGGGAGACAGGTAAGGCTGGGATCCCAGCACAGGTGGCCTGTTTGCCTTAGCAAAGGAAGAAGAGAAAGATTGATTGCATGTTTGGTGACAAGCAGTTTGTGGAGTTTCCATTTTTCCTACAGAACAGAGGCACAGTCACTTGCTGCTAGAGAGAAAAGGTGGCAGCATTAAAAGTTTGAGGAAAGAGGGGAATGTCTGAAATAACACTTGCATTTCAGGAAAGTGGTAACTTGGGAAAACACAAGGGTTGCTGAGACATCTTAGGGGAGCAAAGGAGATTGCAGATCTCAGTTACAGGGTCACTAATTGCAGGATTGCATGGTTTTTCTCCACCGGTTATCAGCCTAGACAGGCACAAATGAAATATAAAGGGGCAATGAAAGTGAGGACATTGGCCAGAAAGTGGTTGAAGTGATGGATCCCAGAAGTAAGATGAGATAAAGGAGCTAGAGAGTGCTACAGGCCAGGGAGTGAAAGCCAGGGATCTCTCCTAAGAGAGACATCTTCTTGAAAAGAAAAGCAAACAGGCTAACCCAAGCTTCATCACAAGTGGTAAGATATTAGAAGGGTTAAGGCAGAGTTAAGGGTTTAAAAAATAAATAAATAAATTTTAATATTTTGAGTACATTAGTTTATAGGATTTTTCTTGCCACCTTCCCCTAATCCTGTTTACTTAACATTTTTTCATGTGTCCATCCTCCCAAATCTCTTTATAACCATACAAACATATATTTTTAATGTGATCATATTATTAACATCCCTCTGAAATTTGCTCCTTTTCTAATTAATCCAGCATGAAGATTATTCCTAATCAATACATGTAACCTAAGGCATTATTTTTATGGATGCCAAATATTGCACAGTACAAATACACCGAATCTGTTCAGACCTTTCCCTATTATTGGACATACAGATATTTTTAAATTTCTTGCTATAATAAAAAAATGTTAAGATAAACAACCTTGTACATGTAAATACTGGTGCTTTTATTTTGGGAGGATAGACCTAACTGTGAGACACTGAAGTGAAAGAATGTCAACTATGCCAGGAAGCACTGTACCAGTCTGCACACTCACCACAGTGTGTGAAGGAGGTCCGTTTGTCTATCACTTTTGCAGCACCTGATGTGTTTAGACTCTTTTAAATTTTGTCCTTCAGACAGCTGAAAACTTTTTTCTTATTGCCTACTTCTTTGGAACATCATTTTAGTGTTTTGACGACATGCATTTCTCTTCTGTGAACTGCCTTACTCACATTCTTGCCTATTTGTGTATTGGATTTTCTGTTTCCCTGTTTAAAGGTTAGGGTTATCAAATCTTTGGCTGTCATATGTGTGGCAAAGTATTTTGATATAATTTATGGTGTATTCTGCCAGAAAGAATTTTTTAAAACTTTATGTAGTTAAGTATGTCGATATTTTCCTTTACTACTTCTGCACTTCCTGTCTTGTCTCTGAGGGTCTTCCACACCTCAAAATTAGTCTCCTAAAATTTCTTGTAGTATCATGCATTGCATTTTCCACTTAGATCTTTCATCTGTAGAATCCTACTTTTGTCCTCTGAAATAGCCAATTATGCTAATATCATTTATCAAATAAACATTCTTTATACCACTGAAATGAAATTCAGCCTTTATCATATCTTAATCTCTTACAATGCTAGAATCCATTCTATTCCATTCAACCGATTTAATTCTGTATTTTTTTGTATCACATTTTTATTACTATAGCATTATGGTCATTTTAACATATGATAAGGAAAATTCCCCACCCCCAACTGTTTTCATTTTTTAAGATTTTTTTTTAGGTAATTCTCACCAACTTATTCTACACATATCATCTTCATCTTAATCAATCCCCCCCTTAAAAAAAACACACACACTTGGGTGTCTGATCAGAATGACATTAAATTTACATATAATTTGGGAAGGATTGTCATTTATACGATGGTAATTCAGCCCATTCAGTTGCATAGTATGATGCTCTCTACTTATTCAGTACTAACTGTATTTCTTTAAGTAAAAATTTTATGGCCAAGTAACATAACAGTCAAGTATCTAAAGTTAAAACTTCTAGAAATACAAAGAGAACATAATAAAATCTGATCATCTGATCCTAGTGGAGTATTTTAACACTTTCAGAATTTGACAGGTCAAATAAGCTAAAGGAAACTATCAAGGATTTGAAGGAGATAATCGATAAGCTCAATTTTGTGAATATATATAGTATTTTGACTATATAAAAACTACACATTATTTTCTTATGTCCCTGGAGCACCTAGCTGCAAGGTAATTCATTCTCTGATTACTGTCCAAAACAACCTAAAACACAAGAAAAAATGGGGAAAAAAAACCCTTTGGGAATTTAATGTAAAACTCCCTTTTAAAAATTCCCTGGAACAAAGAGGGATTGAAACTGAAATTTACTAACTGTAATAATTCTCGAAACAGCAGAGTAAATGTAGAGAAAGGACAAAAGAGACACAAATCCAATTCCCTGACCAAATCCCAGGATAAGGTTTGCGTAAGAACTAAGTCTTATACCCTCACTCAATTGTCATACAACATGGGGGGCTCTGAGGTTGGACATTTTCCTGAAGGCAGAACCAGTGTGACAATATTCCCTTTTCACCAAATTACCAAAACACAGGTCATGGGCCAGCATCTTCCATGAATATACTCAGCTTTGCTCAATTAACCAGGGAGGCAGATTTTCTGGTGCACTTTTGTGCACTGCAAAGTTAGAAGGGGAGAATGAAATTTGCTTATCTGCAAGGAATATTCTGAGTTACAATCACTATGAAATGATGTGACGTGAAATAAATATAAAACAGTGTCCCCAGTATCTACCTTCCTCCTACCCCAATCCATAGAGACTACCACATGAATCCTTTTATTTTGCTAAACAGAAAAGACGCAGTGACCAGAATACTTAAAATTGTTCTAATTTTTTTCCATTATAGTTGATCATTTGATATTTCAGCATTCCCCAGTGGTTAAAAAAAAAAAGTCTCTTCTGCAATATTACCACAACTGTCAGAAAATATGAAAGCTCCTATTGTGCAAATTTTAAAACACTCTAAGATAACTTTTACATTTATTCATACGTTCCATTCACCTTTTGAACTTCAATTTCCTTAGATATAAAATGAGGACTAATTAAAAACGAAAATTTAAAAGATCTTTAAAATACTTCCCAGTTGTATGGATTTAAATCAGTCATCAAATTTTTGATAGCCTTCATTAATCATTGAGACTTTTATCTCCATTTCCAAAAAAAATGAAGAAATATGCCAAGTTTAACTTTTGAAGAGAAAAAATCATAGTTAATTTGAAACAATATTAAATAACTCTGAGTTTTCTTATTGTTGTATAAATCCTTAAGAAAGAGAAAGTGAGAGAATAATTTGAAAACAATTGAATTAAGAGGATTTCCAATCTCAAATATAAGACATCAGCACTTGCTAGCCCAAGGAAGAAATGCCAAGCAGGCCTGGTTCAGAGACAAGAACCCTACCCTATACTTACGTGTGGGATTTACTTGTTACTAAGGAAAGAGACAGTGAAGATGAGAAAACAGAATGAGAATCAAGAAAGGTGAGAAAAGTTCTCAGCTTGGTCCTCTCCAGTCTGTTACAAGCAATTAATTATGCCTTTAATTTAACTCTTTTCCAGCAATAAGAAACAGAATCTTTATTTACTAGAATGTGAGCTTCCTAATTCACCATGGTAGCTGCCAAGGCGCCTAGCACTGAGCCTTGTCAGTGACAGATATTCAAAGGTATCTGAGGGGTACACGAAACATAATTACGATTCAATAAAAAGACTGCTGGCATTCATTTTTTGGAAGTTTGCAGCCAAACACACCACTCCTCACATCACTGTTGCCCTGGGGACAGGCCCAGATGTAAGCTCCCGC